GCTGAGGGTCACTGCGCTGAGGGTCACTGTGCTTGTCTTCAGGCTCGGACTGGGACGACAGTGTGGTGGGCCAGGCTGGTGCCCCGGTGACCTTGCCCTGCTCCGCCCAGCTGGGCAACAGGACCGTGCACTGGCACTGGCAGCCCGCGGGCTGGGACTCCTGGAGCCTGGTGCTGTCAGCCAATCACAAGCAGGAGTTCTGGGGCGGGGCGCGGAAGCTGGAGCAGCGTCTGGCCGACCCGAGCTTCCCGAGCTCCGGAGACCTGTCGCTGGCGTTCAGGGCCAGGCAGCAGGACAGCGGACAGTACCTGTGTGAGGTGGACACGAAGGAGGGGGAAATGAAACCGAAACGGCACATAGTTCTCCTGGTCATTCTGACAGGTGACCGTCTCTCCGTGCGTCTGTCCCCCTGTGTGTCTGTCCCCCAGGTCAGTCTGACAGGTGACCGTCCCCCTGTGTGTCTGTCCCGCAGGTCAGTCTGACAGGTGACTGTCTCTCTGTGCGTCTGTCTCCCTGTGCTTCTGTCCCCCCGGTCAGTCTGACAGGTGACCGTCTCACTGTGCGTCTGTCCCCCTGTGTGTCTGTCCCGCCGGTCAGTCTGACAGGTGACCGTCTCTCTGTGAGTCTGTCCCCCCGGTCAGTCTGACTGTTGACCGTCTCCCTGTGAATGAAGTTTCCCTCTTGCTCCTGACGTGTTGACCCCTGACCCCTCTCTCTGCTCCCTGTCCCAGTGTCCGTCGGTCCGCCCAGCCCTGTGCCCGCGGGCGGGACGGCGCGCCTGCTGGCCCGAGTGTCCGCGGAGGACTGGCGGGGGGGCGTGTCCTGGTTTTCCCCCCAGGGGGTGCCCCTGCCCAGGGAGACCCTCCCCTCGGGGGGGGTCCTGTCCAAGGTGCCCCGCTTCGGCCCGGCGGACCAGGGCAACTACACGTGCCAGGTTCTGCCCCAGGGCCCGTGTGGACGGCCCCGGTTCCTCTTCAGCCACGCCGTCGTCCTGAGAGGTGAGAGGGGGAGCAGCCAGGGGGACCCCAAAACGCCCAGTAAAACGTGCGGATTTCCTGTCGGAAGGCACGGAATTCAAGCAGGAGCCGACGGTGTCGGACCCCCTCGGTCTCGCTGCTCCAGGGGCAGTACAAGCCAGGACCCCCACGTTTCAGATGAGTTGGGGTGAGCTGGGGTCTTTCCCACAGTGCCCCGACCACCTCCAGGATCACCCCCAAGACAAGACAGGGGGCTACGCGGGGGGCAGTGGTGGGGTGAAGAAACCCGTCGATGACGTTGTGGCATCAGGCCATGAAGACCTCTGACCTCTCTCTGTCTGCTCTTCTTTCAGACAGCACACAAGACCCCTTCACCAATGTCTCTCACGGTGAGTGACCCCTTCTCTCTCGGCACAACACTCCCTCTGACTCCAGCTGTCATATTGTTCTCAGTCTGGACTGGAGTGTCCAGTCAGTGTGTCTGTAT